TTGGTGTAGAACTTTTTATGCTAAAATAAGAGAGTTATACAATTTCACATAATTGTTCTCGTGCATACTTTGTTTCATATAGTTCGTATTATTTTTATGACACACATAATGATAAAAGAACTTTTGACATATGATCACATGTGACTTTTATTTATGGATTTTATGTAATAAAAACAAAAGAATTACATGGATCACCGTATGATTTTTAGATAGAATGAACGAATGAATCAATCAATAAATTATCATTTACATAACGATATACCGATCACTAAAAATTACGTAAAATCCTTTTACTCCATTTTTATGCTCCTCGTCTGCCTCTTTAAAGGAGGTGCTTGAAAAAGGGCGATTTGTCGTGCATTTATTCAATAAAAAACACTATAACGGCTTAAGTAGTGTAAATTGAAAAATTGCAGGAGATACTAATAATCATAATACAAAACAATGAGTGTCCACACAAACATTGTTGACAAACATTGTCCTTTTATTTAAATATTTTTATTCATAAAGAAGTTTTGTTTCACTTATTTATGTCAATTCGTTGTGTCATAATGTACCGTCACAAAGGTATGTCGTATTAAACAATAATAACTGAATAATTGAAATAGTTAATACGCCAGCACATCATTTTACGTGCGTTATATTTTTATTATTGCGTACGTGCGTATTATAATTTAAGATTAATTTTGAAACTACATTATTTATTTAATAGTGATCGTAATAATATAGTTTTTAATAATGTAGTTTTTTTTAAACAGACACCAATATTTTTTTGTTATACTGAGTGACGGGACGAACAGGTCGTGCGCCTGGCGATAAGTGACACGCCTGTCCATAACATTTGCAGTGCCACTCAGAACTTCACTAAGATCTGAGGGGCACTGTCATTGCGCGCGCGCGTCACACTGAGATATAAGTTGACAAGCCCCATGTGCCAGTAATTTCACCAGCAACCTTACCCTTCAAAACCGGAACGCAGTAATCCTCACATTATTGCTTGACGCCAGAAATAGGCAGTACATCCCTGGGTCAACTCTTTCACAAGGAGTTTTACGGCAAATAAAAAAATGAATGTAGTTTTATCTATATTCGAAATAGGCCTCATCTGTAATTCGAGGGAACATTTGGTTGTAATATGTACTCTATAACGCGATTTTTTTGACTCATCAAACCGTGTGCATTTATATTTAATTACTTACTCTTTTGGTTCTTTATCAGATCGAACAACAACTATGTACAGGGTCAAGAGCACGTCAAGCTTGACACTTAAGACTTAAATCCAACTCTATGCCGCTTACGATAAGAAAGGTCCAAAGTGCCAAGCTTGATGTGCTCTTGACTGTACAAAGTATAGTATGAGTACACGAATAAAAATTCAGTACACAACTTTATCTACTTGCTAAATATAACAAAAACAGCATGATTTATTTATTATTTAAGTACCTAGGATGCACAAAAACCGATGTAGTTATAAATAGTCCTACGTTTAGGTCAATAATATAGTCATAGAATAATATTCGCAAATTGTAAACTGTCAAATATGAAAAAAGCAATAATGATAACTTCAAGTCACCACCCAGACTGAATGATCCGAGTATCGTTGTTCTTATACAGAAAAATGTTTTTTTTTTTAAATTTATTACATGACCATAGAAAGTGAAAGATTACCAGGTCGTCAGACGTTAACCTATATTATAGTAAGTTTCACTTATCGGTAACAACAGTTAACATTAGCAATGCGTAACACAAACACGTAGCTACATAGGTTAAGTATTAAAAACCTTAACATTTCGCGTAAGAAGGTATGTTCTTCGGTAAACAAGCTTGTTATATCTATGTACGTAATTTACATGATACGTGTGTGCGATCATACGCATTACGTTATACTGGCAAGGTAGTGCTAAAAAATATGATTTCACAATTAACTACCTCGACGGTTTAACGGATGCCACTACGGACGCTTGATAAGAAGATCCCACTATTAATAATTACTTGTAGGAAATTGAACCGTTCTAAATTGATTATGTGTTCCCTCAGAGTTATTGTTACTCTGGTAGTTATCATCAAACCATTTTACGTCCCACTGGGCATGAGTTTTTTCTCAGGCGAGGTTTTGGGCCATTGTCGGCCACGATGGCCCAACGTTAGTTGTGAACCTTCTTTGACGTGCAAGTTTCATCATGATGTCTCCTTCGTCGTTAGCGCAAGGTGTGTTACAATTAAACATTTGTAAATATATTTAAACTAAAAAATTAAAGTCATTATGTACATGACCTATAAATAACAATAAAGAATAAGTAACTATATAAGTAAATTCGGATAAAAACCCACAAATATTACTATATGTATACACTAATAATCTATCCAGGTAGGTCCAAGAGACCCTTGTTAAACGCAAACTCTATAGTGTTGCAAACAAACCGGTATAACTGGTTTCATTCAGACCACCGCACGCCCATATCAACAATAACATATAGGTAGTTACAATATTTATATTTACATCTATTTGATAGTAATATATAACGTATGTTCTTTACAATAATAACAACTGTGCACGTGTAGGAAATCCCGAAATTTTAATAACAGTTAACGCTTAAGTTTCTTTCAAATTGAAAATTGTGATTGTAACTCCATAATACGAGACTTAGAATTTATTTTTTATAATATCAAGTAACGAGACGAACGAGTCGTGCGCCTGGTGGTAAGCAACGCCTATCCATAACAGTCGCAGTGCCATTCAGAGCTTTAAATCGCAAAGATCTTATGGGCACTGTCACTGCGCTCGTCACCCTGTGACATAAGTTGACAAGTCCCACGTGCCTGTAATTTCACCAGCACCCTTACTCTTCAAAACCGGAACGCACTAATGCTAACTTTACTGCTTGGCGACAGAAATAGGTAAGGTGGCAGTACTTCCCTGGACGAACTCTTTCACAAGGAGCTCTACTGCTGCTTAAATAGAATAATAACGATAGGAGAATTCTTCATCTGAATCGTTAAGTCCGGCAGTAGGCACAACATCTATGGCGATGCTAAAAAGTTAGAGAGTGTGTACATTTTATGCTCAGATTACAAAACAATAGGATTTTATGTATAAAACATACAAGGCGTTAACCATTTATAAGAGTTACTTAAATAGTGACATTTGGAGAACCGGAATAACGTACTCGAACTTATTATCGCAAAATGATAACTTTTCTTGAGAAAGGTGGAGGAGAAAGGAAAAAAGAAAGAATCTGTGAACCAAATTAGTCGATAAATTTGTATGCTTAAATAGGAGAGTATAAAATGTCACTTAAACAAATTTGTATCATGTAGTTTGTATTATTTTCATGACTTTTATGTGATAACAGCACTTTTGATATATAAGTTTTATTACACCAAAGGTACGTTCAATCCGTGATGGAATCACTGGTTGACAGTTATGTGATAATAAGTATATACATATAATGTTAAAGATATTTTTGCGTGTCACATAGTCTAAAATATTTCTAGAATGTTCTGATTTTTGTCGCAGAATGATGAAAAACATAACTGATAAAAATTCATCGGACAGAAACGTGCTTTTCCTTTAGGTGGGTACTTTGAAAATGTTATGTTAATATTTATGCGTTCTACAAACATTTTTATTGGATTTACACGTGTAATATATTAATAACTACCAACTTATTACTTATTAAGTGATATACCGTGATAGCCTAATAGTTTGACCTCCCGCCTATTAAGCAGAAGCCGTGGGTACCAATCCGGCCTCACACCTCTGAGATTCTCGGAATTTATGTGCGAAATTTAATTTGAAATTTAGCATGAGCCTTTCGGTGAAGGAAATTATCGTGATGAAATTTTCACGTCGAAGAGAGTTCACAACTCTCGGAAAACTGAAGTCCCCAACCTGTATTGAGCCAGAGTGGCGGGCCTAAAACTTCGCCTGAGAGGAGACCGGTGTCCAGCAGTGGGACGTATAAATGTGTTGATGATAAAGTACCAACTTAAAGTAAAAGTTATGAATCTTCACATATTAATTGGTAGTCCAAATGTTTTCTCTGTGGTAACTGGATGAGACACCAAGTTTCATTCCCAGAATCAATTTGGGAAATTAATCTGAATTTGCTCTAGATGTTCTGGGTAGTGTCCCTGAGTGACTGCCGTTGATCTAGTATTCATAGCACAGATAAGGTCAGGTAATAGGGTCAAATAATAAAGGCTTGCAAGAGTTTGAACGATGTGTTGAGCTGGAGCGAACTTAATATTGACATATTCAATTCTAATTCTAACTCATTAAAACGTAAACCTATGGGCGCGTCTGTTTAGTGAGCGATCATTTCGTGGCGCCGGTATTGGGATATACATATATAATTTATATTACGTATATATTATATTCTATATATTTTATTTGTATTTTAAGTTAAGAGTATTTGTTACATATTAATTTTACGCCTTGTTTACGTGCCTGTTTTGTATTTGTACAATTCGGCAGCCATTTTGAAATATGTTTTAGTATCCAACTTAAAATAAGAACACCAGATAAATATGAGGTAATACGTTTATTACGCAACTATAAGGTATGACTTGTAAATTGTAAACAACCCCGACCTACCTACATAAATAATTTAATTTTGTCTTTAACAAGGAAGTGTAAAGAGACTAGCAAGGTTACGTAAATAAAACGCATCGAATTAGCGATCGCTAATTGTTGAATTGTAGGCCACGATCTAATTAACATTTCCTTTTCATAGTACTCTGAAATAATTCTTAAACGGAAGATAAAGGGCAAAGACATAAACAAGGTAATTTAAGGATACACAGGGATTGTAGGATATTTTTGATAATAAATGTGTATATTTAATAGATATGTATAAATTACAAATCATTTCGCACAACCGGTAGGTGGTGTACGTAAAACTATTGTTAACATTCCACCCATAAAAGGAAAGCGCGGGAACTAACACTTCGCAATAACATACTTCGTAAACAATATAACCTTATAGTACAACACTTACCGTCTTTTACGAAAACAGCCAATAGGAGTACAGGCACAAAAAGCGACAGATTCATCATTTCGATTTTCAAATTTTATAAACACCACAAACACGATAAAATATCAACTGCGAATTAAAACGTCACCCGACGATCGCTTCGTTTCGATTTCCAAAAGCAAATGACGAGGGAACAGCGCAGAAAGAACGCTACGAGTAAAGCTGCGGGCACATGGGTGAGGTTTTCATTAAATTAGTATTATGGTTGAATGAATCATCACCTGGTACGTATCAATTGTAAGGTAACGAAGAGTATACCTACAATTTTAGGCACATTGTAGTATTTTCTCCATTTAAAATCGGTTGTATTTTTTGTCTAAAAACATGCTAGAAAATGATATCGATTAGAATTTGTGGAATTTTTCTTTTATTATCTGTGATTTATTTTTACGTTATGTTCAAAACATAAGTTTATTTCCATAAATATTTGCAGGAAGACAACAATGCTACGTGGTTATAGCAATTTTTCCTTGCATGTTTTATAGCTATAGCCATGTGAACTAGGTTTAACTGTTTAGAGCACGCTCTGGGGCTTGGGGAAGGGCTTTGGCGCGAATACGAGTGAATGCGTGTTGCGTACTACGACGCGATGCGTTTCGATACATAGAATAAGTATGCTTTTTAAAGACTAGGCACATCTCTGCTTGCGACTTGTGTGATGATAGAGTCGTATAAATATGTTATTCACTTTGTTTGATCTTAGGTAAAAGACCTGCAATGTTCATATCTAGTAATTACAACATTAAGTGATTAATTAAAATAAAAGCATTAGTAACAACGACTACATTAAATTTATTTAAAAATTAAATTAAGATACTACACTTCAATTAAAGTTGTACATTAAATTAATATCATAATAATGATATATATTTATAGCTTTTATATTAATTAAGATTTATATAAGAGCAATTTATTATTTATATCAGTTTTTTACTTTATTTTTAATAGTCACATTGCTAATCTAAAACCGTAAATACGTTTATTCATCACCTCAATTAAGCACTGTTTATATTGTACTGTACCTATTATACATAATAATTCATTCTATATTATATACTTACTTATATTTAATAAGTTTTAATAAAGATGTTTAATAATTGGAGGACTGGATCGAGTCAAGAAGGTCGGTTGATGTTGGATGCAAACGGTCCAGGAACGTTCTGTCGTGGTATCAGACATTTAAGACTAAAAATAGTAGCGGACAATTGGTAAGCTTAACATTTAAATTATATTTTATTACATCTTAGCTGTATTATTAATTAGTGTAATAAGGCCACATTTACATGAGGACTTTTCAAAATAAAAGTTTAAACATTGTACAAATGTAATTAATCGCTAACTTTTGGTGAAATTACAGGCACTTGGGTCTTGTCAACTTATGGCTTAGGATGACGGGCACGGTGGCAGTACCCCTCAGGTCTTTGCGATTTGGGGCTCTGAGTGGCACTGGACCTACTGTGGACGAAGGCGTGTCGCTTGCCACCAGCCGCGCGATTTGTTAACCCCGTTATAATTGGTATCATAAAAAAAAGCTTGATAAAAACCCTTTTCACGTATGGTCATGTGTGGCTTTATTATAACAAGGGTACAATTTTATCATTTCCATATTATTTGATAATTGCTTTTAATTTTCATTAAAATGAATATAAATTTCTTCTGTTCTTTGGCAAAAATGACCCGCGGTTACGAACGATTGCCACTGACTTGAGAATAGATATTTTTTCTAGTCCCTTTTTCAAACGTGTTATATCTTTTTTCGAATGCCTATCTACTTTTCGAGTTTTTAGAGTTCAGCCAGGGAAATACTGCCAGCTTGACAGCAGAACACAGTAATGCTACATTACTATGTAGCATTACTGTATTCCGGTTTTGAAGGGTGAGGGTGCTGGTGAAATTACAGGCACATGGGACTTGTCAACTAACGTCTCAGGGTGACGGGCGTAGTGGCAAAGCCCCTCAGATCTTTGCTCTGAGTGGCACTGCAACTGTTATGGACTGGACTTGTTCGTCCCGTCACTTGATATTATAAAAAAAAAACTTCATAGATATCTAACGTGACCATATCACTTTCTTCCCTCTGAGCGGAACGTTTGGAAATTTGTTAAAACAGTGACGAAATGTTTAATGTTTAAAAAAAAATTTAAAAAGAACTAATCTTGTATAGTCCAGTGGCTGAGTCTGGCTTTATATATTTTCGCTTTCGCGTCATTTAAAAATATAATGACACGTGTGTCAAGTTTTGTCAAACCGGGACATTGTTTGTTATATTTAGGGGACAGCGGAACACGAAACTTAAAACCGGGACGTATGTCACGTTACAGACGTCTTAAGTACCTATATACAAATTAGTTTTGATATGCACAACTTTGATAGCAGTCTTTGCAGGGTCATTGAGACTTAACATTTAAGTTCAACTTTGTGCCGCTTACAATAAGAGCGACCCAAAGCTTAATGTGCAAAAAGAGCAACAAAAACTACACATAATTCAATCTATCTTTTAATGTGGAAAATTCTCAGAAAATTCCTAAACTCTACTTCTGAGTATATAGGTTAACTTACCGAAGTGTGAGCCTAATGGACGATGTAATCAAATACTCATGAAATAAGAACTCAACTTAATAATATTGGCTATTAATAAACCCAATAAATTTCTGTTGTATTGTGACACTGTGACAAACTTGTGCGACAGCATGGTTAATTAATTGACTAAAAGTAAATAACGATAAATCTACAGAGCACGAGCAGATGAATGTGATTTTTAAAAATAAAAAGATTACAAACGCATTTTGTACTCATGGAATTAATTAATATTAAAAAGACTTAAAAAATCCAAAGCTTTTTGTCATTCTATAAGTACATTAAAAATACAATAGAAAATATTTAATAATGGATCCCGATAATTAAATGAAGACCTCGTTCAAAGAAATTTATCATAGCCTTATTAAAAAAAGTTAACATAAAAAACCGTCTAAGCCAGTGGTGCTACGAAGTTTTCATACGTTTATTTATACTTACATGATCTGTGGTCGAAATTAGACTTTCCGAATCTAGCCACACATTCTTTGGAGACTTCCTATACAAGGCGAGGGATTTCTCCTAAATCCGATTTAAATATAGACGCTCGATGACCCATTATAATGTTGAAGAGATGCACCTGAATATATCTACTAATTTAGAGAAAATGACCCTGTCACTGTTTAAGTACAAAATGATTAATGATGACACGAGGCGTTACGGTAAGAATGAATACGGAAACAGGTTTCAGTGAAATGGGCGCAAATATTGACTTTTAATTTTATTTTGTCATTTCTTTCGAAACAATTGTCAAACTTTTGACAAAGAATTAGATTTAAACGGCAACACTAGCAAAAGTTTGACAAATATTTTGTAGAGAAACCTTAGAGGATGGAAAAAAATACAAACGTTTGTTTAAATCGTAACATTATTTGTAACAAGACAGATTATCAAGTTTGTCAGACGGAGAAAATAGGCATTTTTTGGGATCAAGCTTAGTGTCCGCCATTCAGGAAATAGTATAGAATAGAATATACTTTTTGGGATTAAAAACTTGCAGAGTTTTATTACTAAAAATATAGTTTACGAGAATGCAAAATCAACCACTCTACAAACCTGTATTAAGAAGGAAATTAAAACAAATGAATGAAAAAATGGCAGTCGACAAATCTTTTATTTTCTAATCAGACTGAAAATAAAAATAATTGAAATAACCGGCCAGACTTTTGAAAATCACTGTACTATTTTGAGGACTTTCGCTAAATGTTCCTGTGTTGTATTCAGTGTTATTATAGTTTTGTCCTACGCTGCAATAAAACCATTTTCGAAAAAAGTTATTAATTAATATTTGGTGGTTTCTACAACTCTATGTCGCTCCTTGTATATACATATATTAGGGGTTAAAGTATGAAATTGCCGTTTTATTGCAATAGGTTCTTTGAATTTTCATAGAATCTTCATGGTTTGAGGTTTTCGAATGAAACTTTTTTCAAATGGTTTCTGTGATTTTTTTTGTTTTAAAATTTGAAACATTTGAATATCGACTTTCAATTGTTTTTGTTATTCAATTTAGACAAGAAAGATGGATACTGCGAAAATTCGAGTGATTTTTGAATACGAGTTCCGACGCGGAACTAACGCGGCAGAAACAGCCCGCAATATCAATGCTGCGTTTGGAGAGGGGTCTACTAATGAACGCACCGTGCGATTTTGGTTTAAACGCTTTCGTGATGGAAATTTCGACTTAAAGAACGAGCCACGAGGAAGACCGCCCACACAGGTGAATAACGATGAATTAAGAGAGATAGTGGAAGCCGATCCTAGTCAAACTACCCAGGAATTATCGGCATGGTTTAACGTTACCTTACCCACAATATTGACTCACTTGCGTCAAATCAATAAAATAAAAAAATACGAAAAATGGGTGCCTCATGATTTGACTGATCTGCAGAAAGAAACGCGTGTTGAAACTTGTGTTGCCTTGTTGAACCGGTACAGAAATGAAGGAATATTGGATCGAATTGTAACATGTGATGAAAAGTGGATTCTTTATGATAACCGGAAAAGAAAAATGCAATGGCTGACCCCAGGTCAAATGCCACAACAGTGTCCTAAAGCAAAACTTACCAATAAAAAGGTAACGGTAACTGTTTGGTGGTCTCAGCATGGTGGTATTCACTATAGTTTTCTCCGATCTGGTCAAGCAATAACGGCAGATGTCTATTGTGCCGAACTCCGAACCATGTTGACAAAACTAGCAGTAAAACAGCCCCGACTCATGAATCGATCTTCACCATTATTGCTCCACGACAACGCGAGACCTCACACAGCACGAGAAACCATTTTGACCCTTCAGGAACTGCATTTGGAAACCATTCGTCATCCTCCGTATTCACCAGACCTTGCTCCAACGGACTACCATTTTTTTCGTGATATGGACAATTATCTACGTGACAAGAAGTTTTCTTCCCAGGAGGCAGTACAAAATGCTTTCACACAGTTTGTGCAGTCTAGATCGTCGGAGTTCTATCGCAAAGGCATTAATAACCTTCCCATTAGATGGCAGCAATGTATAGATAATAATAGCAACTATTTTGATTAAATAAATTTGTTAAAAATTTAAAAAATAAACAATTTAGATTTTCAGTACAAATCGGCAATTTCATACTTTAACCCCTATTATATTTGTGCATATATCTATACGTGTATCTATACATGTGGAATACTTTTTTCCGACCGTTGATTATATTATTACAGTATGTAGTACCTATAGATAAATAATTACAGTACAACTTTTATGCATAATAAGTTTCGGCAATTTTCGGATTTCCAAATGCTCCCGAATACAAATTTCCATGTCTAGTATTGTTAGATTTATCATCTATTATAATTATGTGAATGATGCATCAAAATCAAGACCGCTTCCAATGTCATTTGTTAAATTTCAAGGTAACACGGGCGACCTTTGGTTAAGTTTGTAAGTTGAGTTTGCTTATCCAAATTATTGTTCGCGTTATGTATTTTGACGGAAAAGGAAAATTAACATCGTGATGAAACCTATATGTAAACGAAGAACGAACCTTTGGAAAACAGGTGAAATGTTTTTTCATCGCACTCACTCATATAGCCCCGTACTAAAAAAACCCTGTATCGCGAGTGCTATGGACACACACATACATATATACAAAAAAGTAGACCAAAATTCATGAGAGAAATGGTCATGCAAATATTTCTTCCGGCTCGGGAAGCGAACCCGGGACCTTTGCGTGCCAGACAGCATGGTAACCGTTCGGTCACCAGAGGCAGTTAATGGTTCCCTTTGGGCCACGTAGATTTAGTTACTATGGTTTACCCAATATGATAAGTATTGTAACTCCATATAAACGTAGTAGCAGCATGGTTTGTATGTGTGCACGCCCGCCGGTGCAGCATGCCGTGTACACATTCTAATTTTCTTGCGACGCATTCGCGTTGCGTAGCGTCATCATACATGGCGTGCGGCGGGCGTGCACACATATACAAGCCCCACTACTACGCTGTACGGAGTGTTTCATTTGTACCATATTTATCTTATTATACTACGTATATCTCAATAGATTGTTTTTTGTGAAATAACTCCACTTGTTTTACTATGATTATTATTATTAATATGAAGATTGAACACTTAGTAAAAGTTTTTCGACCCGATGGGACTGAACCCACAACTACATATACAAAATACATTTGATCAAAAAGCTACTGCGGCTGCGGTGAGAAGGTTCCAAAATCTCTCACTAGATGTCACCGAATGTCGAAAACCAATACATTCTATACAAAAACAAGAGTATATCGATACAACTTGATAATTTGACCTTTAACTCAGTTGATATAGAGCAACGTACAGCGTTACAGCGTGGTCACGGGTTCAAGTCAAATCGGATCGAAGAAAATGTTTCCATGTGTTCAATCTTTAAGAAGAAAGAAAAACTTGACATACGTTTCAAGAAAATGTATTGGCTATTTGGCAAATGCTCTTCGTTATCTGTGTGCAATAAAATATTGTTGTATAAATAGGTCAACGACGACCACGACGTTACTCAACCGCACGGACTCTTCATATGTCCTAAACTGTCAACAATCTTGATTACGATGTGTATTTAATGAAATATACATTTATAAAATTATTTTTACTTCCCTTCAAATACAAAATACAAGCTTCAAATGAAATTGCAGGCCTATTTTTATACCTATTGATTTATAAAGTATATATTTTAATAAAAAGATGTATCAAGATTGTTTACATTTAGTTAAGTACCTAAACAAATGAACTATAGTTAAACGTATAAATAACAAAAACATTACAGTTTTTCCTTCTCAGTCAAATTTGTTTATTTATCCACCCGTTAACTTTTTACATCATTTGTATTAATATTAAACTGGGCAACATAAACACACCTACGATTTTTTTTTAATTATTTCCATGTCATCCAAACTCGAGAAACTTTTCTAGTGCTTCCAAAGTTTTAAAACAATTTTCTTTGTATGTGAGATTCATAATTAGAAAATTTCGGAAATACGTACTTTATTAACTATAACACAGTCTACTTGTACCTATATTTTTCTTTTACATTATACATGAAATATAGTCGTATGGTATTTGGGAAAAGATATCTGTGGGTACACAATGTTACAGAAAAAAAAGTAAAGTGGTATAAGTAGCATGATTGCGAAGTAAACGACAATTGATTGATGAGCTGTTAATCGGTTGATACCACTATTCGTATTACAATTATTTGTTGTGCATTCTATGCATGAGACCAGTTCTACCATATCCTTGTGTATGTTATCTATTTCCATGATTTCTGCACAAGTACCGCGTTCGGAAGAGCAGCCACGGACGATTAAGGGGCGGTTCGTAACTGGAACAGTTCAATTTCTTAGAAATGTGTTGTATGATTTAATAAAATATTTAATTATTATAATTAATTAATTATAATTATAATTGATTTTAGTGAAAATACTCCAGTAAGTAATATGTTATAATTAGTAATACAAAGATCGAGTTGCCCTACATTTGCATACAGGCACAGGTTCGAATCCTGTCAGACCGAAGGAATTTGTGTTCGATTTTTGTATTAATAATTATAACAAATTAATGGAGTAATTTCACAAAAAAAATATATTGGTAGTAAAAAAATCATGATATTCTGTAAAATCAATATTACAATACATGAAGCGACATCTCTTGTCAACTTCTAGTACCTGTAAATGTACTAGGTTGAGTGAAGAAAAAACTATCATAGATTTCTCCCAGCCGATAAAACCAAAAACAAAAATCTGTAACGCGTACAAAAAATAGTAAGATCTTCTGACTCAATCTGTAGCGATTGCTCTAGATCGGCATACAGACACGGGTTTGAATCCAGTCAGATCGAAGCAATTTTTCTTTGTGTTCCATCCTTGTATTAATAATAGTGTTATTATTCATAGAGAAAATTAGTTTTTTGTCTACAATTTATAACACAAATGGTTGATACCTGACAGGCTGTTTTCGTCACAGTACTATTACAGAAACTATTATGTAGAGAATTGGAATAGGTTATTGATTCGAAATTAGCTTTGTAATTACAACCTATGTAACGCAATACTCAAACTGAATACTTGCCTATAATACGTTCCATGTATACCAAACAAGACTGGCTGACACCGTTGCCAGATGGAAGGCAGACCATTGAGGTCGTATTTATGGTGACCCTGGGACAGTCATTGCAGACGTAGCATTCTAGAGATTCATTTGGTATATTTTGTTCCACTTCATCTGTAACGAAAATAAAATAACTTGATAAAAACAGTATCTATACCTTTGGGGACTGTGTCTTTTCACTATTTAGCCGAATGCAAAAAAGAGGAGGTCCTCTATTCGTCTGTATTTTTTTTGTGCAATTCTTTTTTGTTGAAGAGGGGATATGCCAGTAACGGTACCATTCAAATTTGAAGAAAATATTGCACCTCAAGTGTGGCATTTGCCACAATTTTTCAAGTGTATTTACACTTAAGATTGAATCACCCACTTTCTGTTAATCGATTTCAATAAAACTTGGCACATAGATGTATTTCTAACGAAAGTAAAATGTTAGGGTGACCTAGAGCTGATCTCATGAATGGCAGATTGATGAGAAGAACTTCTAAACAGTGTAAAGCAGCTAGGTACTTGCGTTTAGGCTCACATGATTCGTTTTGACGAGGACTTCCATATTATACTTTTCAATTATAGTTGAGGAGGCCGTGGTAACGAACACACCGAAATAACGGCGCACAAACAAACTTATGAGATAGGATATTTTTTAATGTTATAATTTAGTACGAAATATAAATAATTTAGGATCTTATCTTTTTGTGTAACTATATAACTGAAACATAACTTGCAAAGATTACATTATTTGCCTGTTCTTTAAGGTGTTACTGAATGATTTGATTGACTGTTATACTAAAGAATTCAACAAGATTATTATGAAGTTTGTGATTGTAACTGTAATAGGTTTTCCATTAGTAATTATTTGGAAAAATTAAATCATATTATTTTCCTGCAGAATCTCAGATTTTATGACTTCATTAAAAGCGAAGGAAGGAGTACTTGATAAGAAAAGTCTATGAACAAAGGAAACTTAATCTTAAATCTGATTAACAGTTTTGTACTTTTGCAAGTTACTTTTGTTTTTTTTAGGTTTCGTTTTTTGAATATCTTAAACGTATGTAAGGTAGTTCGTCTTTTTTATTTATAAACAATATTTCTTTCAAGTCGTAACGAATTATATAAAAAAAATAAACTCAAAACTCGTTACATTATAATATATTATCGTTCAGCTTTGTTACTGGATTCACATTTCTTCATTCACAATTCTTTGCGTGATATTTCTTAGGTAAATTGTAGCCAAAAAACCTATGGTAGTATAAAATAAATACAAGATTGACTACTAACACAGACTCCGAACCAATCATTACCATCATTAGCCTATCCCAATATGCACCATTTTGCTCGATTCTCAGCTTGTCGTAATCATCTGCTGCCAGCAGCCTTTCGCAGATCGTCACTCGATCTTGCCAGGACTCCGAACCCGGTTGTCCCTAACATATTGGCAACCGTTAGTTGTGCAATGCGCAACGGGAAGTGAGTGAACCTACAGCTCCAGTACTTATCTGGAAAATAGGGATGGTACTGTACGCGCACCTAAGGTGGTTCACCCGAGGCGATTCACCCGAGGCACTATCCTCTTGAGACCCGGATGAAGTCAGTGCCAACGGTCTGTGACAACCTTGTACATTGACAGATCTGGGGTCTCTGGTTACAATATTTTACACAATGCCTAAAAATACCCCGATGGAAGTACCGTCCACCTAAAATACAATACGCTTAATGCAAACACACAGTAAAAGACAAAATTTCATTTTTTTTTATTGACAAGCGTAATAATTTTTTTTTATATAATGACACGTAAAGTTGAAGACAAAAAACGTATTTACCATTAGATTGGATTGGTGTATTCATTAATGCAATCACGATAACTACAGTAAACACTGTTAAATACTTCATCTTGCCTCTAACCTCTACTGTTGACTCTAAACAAGTACTAGATGTTTTATATTCACATGCTATGTAACGGCGTACGTGTGGCGCTAATACTTTTGGGGCGCATTGACCATGTCTGCTATGGGTGCAGAATCTCGAACCTACTCGAATCCTACTGTGCTTAGTCAGTAAACCTTATCTTTTAACCCACTTCAAAAAAAGAGCAGGTAGTCTGACATTTCGACGCCTCCTACGTAAAACATCGTATGTCGAAATTGCCAAGTTTACAGGGGAGTGTTTTAAAGTTCTCCGTTTCATTTGGCAAAGCTTGTTACTCACATAGAGTGGTCATCTAATAGATCATCTAACCGATATCTAGGATTTTATGATACTCAACGTGTGTTACGAGATTTGCCGAATAAAAGTGAGAATCTAAAGTCACGTGTTATGCTTATTTCAGTGAATTCAAAACTTTAAAAGACTCCCCTGTAAACTTGGCAATTTTGACATACGATACTTTACGTGGGAGGGGTCGATTTGTGAACCGAATTTGATGATTCTTTTTTGTTAGACTCAGTTGTGGTCCCATTCAAACTTGAAGAAAATATTCCACCTCTAAGGGTGAATAATTAGGTGATTGCCACAAAACTTGGGCGAAAACTTTTTTGAGGTTTTTTTTTCGAAAACGTTTATAATTATATGAGAAACGATCTTTAAAACCAAGGTGTTGCTTGACGTTGACCAAATTTAAACATTAATTACGAGATACTTCAAGGTGCACATTTCAGCAGTAATTCGTCTTTTTTCTCATTTTAGTAATCCATTATCTTGACAACTATGTAATTTTTTTTTCATGTTATATAAATTATCACTAAATTATCACATATGTGGTGTTCATAATCTTAATCAAATAAACACATTATGAAAATATTTCAAGACTGTTTTCACTTTTGCAACTTACAAGCCTGCAATTACGCTACCAATTTCCATCTTTGTATTTTTACCAAGTGACGTGATGAAAAAGTCGTGTGCCTGGTGGTCTGGCCTTTAAAAAGGTAACCTATCACAAACTCGAAAATTTTTTGTTCGAAATAAAGTTTGTTCGAATTTTCATTACACCGAAAACCGAATTATAACGAAACAGTTGTTCTTTCAGGATATGTTGACTGTTTATCACTCGCAAATTCACGATTTGGTTGGGTTAGGTTAGGTTCAGTTAGGTTTAAAGGAAAAAAACATTTTCCTCTCAAAATTACTTTCGAGGTTATGAAATTTCGACCAAACGTTATTTCTGGAAAATGTCATTTCGGAGTACTGATAGGTGACCCTTTAAAAGGGCACTGCTACTGCACCCGTCACTCTGAGGCATAAGTTGACAAGTCCCAAGTACCTGTAATTTCAGAAACCGGCAAGGCAAAGTGGCAGTATCTCACTGGAAACTCTTTCACAAGGAGCACTACTGCTACTAAAATTTGTGCTAAATGTTGACGTTCTCTGTGAAATATGTAGTTGCGAAGAAAATTGGTTGTCGCCAATGGACACCAAAGTGATTCCCTAGGAGTCCCATTTTATCAATTTTGATATGGTTTAATAAAAAAATGTATTAAGTGCGTAATAAAATATATTTTATGGTGTTATAAGGGACACGGATTTTTGGGGCGTAATTTGCCCCACAAAATTCTAAATGCAACTCTGTGCGATATTGCTGTGGTTTCCATCTAAGATTGTATGCGCTGAACGCATTCGTTAGACCGCATCCATAGTTTGCAGTACGTAATTCCATACTATTAAACATAATAAACATGTGTGTTATGTGATGGATTGAATTCAATAACAACTTGTAAATGATTCAGTGTAAATACGATAAAACTTAAGGGTCATTTCCATTCTAACGTAGCTTTACAATGGATGTGTATAATAGAACTGACTTCTACATACCCATAGTAAAGCAATATCGTATGGTCGACGCATTCCGATGTTATAATCTTATTATTTAACGTCTATAAAGGCTGCTCTATGGATATACTGCATACCGACGTACCAGATGAATGACCTTCGCAGTTCTGGGAACCTACAGGAACCGAAGTTTTTCAAATTGTTTTAGAGTGGGTGTTCTCTAATTTCATTACTCTGATAAGTAATATTACAAAATATCCAGTTTACCTACTTGTGACCAACTAAATTGTTTTGGTACTATTATAGACGTGCATAAAAACTATTCCTTCGTAATCATACCTATAACTGTGTTAAATTATTTCTGGAAAATAAAATGATATACTTAGTGGAAATTGTTTCGTGTATCTTGCAATTCATTGAAGATTGTCGACATGTAATTATGTACATAATTATGGGCTTACGATACATGTAATAGTTTGTATTATGCAAATACAGCGCCATCTTAAAATGTGTATTTGAACCTACATATACTCGAAGAACTCGAGATTACAATTAGACCCATAGACATTATACTGTGATTAGACCACTAGCTTGTCAAATGTACACGACAAAGTTCTTACAATGAAGTATAGACGTCGCTACTAGTAATAAAGAATGGAAATTATGTGACTTGTTTTTGGCTACCCTGATTACAGTTAAAACATTTGACAGAATTGTTTAAGTCAGTACGTATTAGTAGTACTTTATTTTACGTTATTGGATGCTAGTAAAAGGAAAATAATATCACAAGTTTGTAGAAAATCGCTTTATTGTCTTATTAAAAACTTAAGTAAACTGTACAATGAGATTCTTGCATAGAATAAATACTTAACTTATTAATTGGTTCATAGACATTTTCACCACATCCATCATAATTATGAAGATCCATACTGTTAACATCGACAAATACTTTATTGATATTTGTAAAAAAAATAAATAAACTGACTCTCCAGTTGAAGTAATGGAAACAGATTGTAGTAATGTAATTTTAAAGCTTTGAATTGGTCCCTACAGCGATTTGACAAATAATTCTTAAAAATACAATTTTCTTGTACTTTTAACTTACCTACTTGCTCGTTAGGTAAAATCAAATAATCTTCTTACCGGTGATTCCATAATTATAGATTGATCCTGTAGATACACATGTTAAACAATTTTTATATGAAAAATTTGGTAGCAAGTAATAATTCATAGACTGACACCAATTGACAATAGACGAGGCTTAGATTGTCTTCTCAAAAATTAAAATTCTTAAAATTCTCCAAGTCTTATGACATCGTCAACTTCCCGGTGAGCGGCGTAATTACTAACACGAAGAAGGCGATAGTTAAATTGGCAAGCGATCTTGGAGCATTGCTAGTATTACACCTGTCTCCAATACATTCGTCGCAGGAAATCAAGTCGACTATATCTTTATGCAAGCTATGCGAGTCTTTTATGTCAGCACAGGAACCGCGTTCGGAAGCACAACCGCGGATGAACCATGGGCGTTTCATATCTGAAACAAATTAGGTGTAAGCGTCGCCTCAAATTGCCGCAGCAAACCGGCGCGACCCTATACATTTCTCATAAGAAAAGAGTAAAGCCGCGCTGCATCTTCTATTTAATATTTTGTTTAATGAAAGAAGATAAAGTTTATGTTGTATTAATAGTATTAATGCATCGCAGCGCGTCCTAGCTGCGGCAATGTGAGGCGATTCTAACATGTGAACCAACTTTGCTTTATGCATGTAATGAATTGTGTTATCATTGAATGTTACTTTGAAGTGTTATCGTTTCCCCGTTTTATCATCGGACATCCAGACGTAAGGCGGAATGTCATTCTTACTTAGTTGATATTCTTTTTATACGTACTAAGCGCTTTTTGTCATACTTTATGATGCGTACAGCCAAGGAATGGAAATCCGAGCACTTACAATCCGTATTTCTTTAAAATGCATTTGTTTCATCGTAGATCCCATTTTTGCTCCAGGGCTAGTTAGTGGTCAAGCAGCGTTTTCCTGTTTATAGAATGACTTTCACCGTTTGACACTAAACGGTTTTCGATCTTGTTCATCTACAGGCAATGGTTAATTTACCGTAAATGGGTACTCACATTTAAATTTTTCTACGTAAACGACACAGCTCCTCTGCTTCACACTATCAATAGTCGGTGGGCAGACCTTCGTGGTTGTATTTAGCAACACTTGGGGACAGTCGTTGCACACGTAGCATTCTACTCCGTTAATAATTTGCCCTGGGTACCTGGGGTAAAAAATTGTTACTTAAGAGCTGGCTAAAATAATTTTATTGAACATGGGTAATGTGCTATGCATGTATATAATATTGTATTTGAACATAAAAATAGCTATAACTATTTATTTAAGAAACGAAACAAAAGAATGATGAAGAAGAATGACTTATGTACCACAACGGGATGGTTAAAAGGCATCGTATTAAATATTTATACGCATAAATAGACCTATAATTGCACTACAAAGTACTGTTTAGGTTTCTTTCTTTTTTTTTGTTATATCACGTGACGGGGCGAAAAAGTCGTGTGCCTGATGGTAAGCTACATGCCTGTCCGTAACAATTGCAGTGCCACTCAGAGCTTTGAATCACAAAGATCTAAGGGGCACTGCCACAGCGCCCATCACCATGAGACATAAGTTGACAAGTCCCATGTGCCTGTAATTTCATTAGCACCCTATTACCCTTCAAAACCGGAAAACAGCCGACATTACTGCTTAGTGGCAGAAATAGGTAAGGTGGTAGTACTACCCTGGACAAACTCTTTCATAAGGAGCTCTACTGCTACTGAAACTTCCTTACTTTTTATTATTGTTTCATTGTAATATATATATATATATATATATATATATAATTATCTGGCTATAGCAATTAAATAGTAAGTTATGGTTTAAATAAAATATTAATATTTAAAGTTTAAAGATTAAATTTTCTCAATAATATCGTAACGGTTTCTGTGAAACTCCAATTACTCTGAAGCTTGGATTTTACAAAATATTACAGTATAATGCTTTTGTTTCCTCCATTCTCATTACACACTCTTATCTTTTCGGAATACATTTTTAACTTAGTCTTTTTATTCAATTTTTCGTGCAATCAATGATTACAAAGAAATTACCCCCTGTAGGTAGGCCCGAGATTACCAGACGAAGCACTGGCTGAAGACATGGACGACATGGATGAGGACTGGGCACTAGCCAAAGCTAGACCTGACCGATCGTTATTGCTGGCGGAATCGGCAGGGGCTGCTTCGTGTGCGCGAGATTCATCTGTAATTATGACAAACAAAATTGCAAGTGTTTAGGTCAAATATATTTTAGATTCACGTGTCGCGATTTGCTTCCTGACCGTCGGTTACCTACCACGAGTCAAGGTAATTATTATATGATAATTCGGGTATAGTTGACGAACTATTATTTGCACCGATCCGACTTATCTTTTTTATCTTTCGAGTACAATAAGACAAAGGAGTGAGCGTCTCGGTAAAGCACGTGCCATCCGTATAGTGCTAACAACTAGTTTAAACTTTTATGCACTGTTACTTAAGCGTGATTTTAAGCGTGCAAACGCGATGCAAGCGCGTGCCTACACTTGGGACTTAGCTTATTATTTCGTGCATTTATATCGATGCAATCGCGCGTTTGTATCGATGCAATCGCCTGTAAATCGCAAATGTAACGATGCAATCGGGCTTTTCATGACAGTTGCAATTTGATTTGTCGCTGCTAAATATCCGTGTGTAACAATTCTTATGTGGGACTTATTTTTCTGAATTTGTAAGAAAAGAGTCGGTAGTCGGTATGTCACAGAGTATCTACAAGTTAAAAAAATCATAGCTATAAAAATAAACGACTTGACGTGTAAAGAAATAACTCAAAATTAGAATTCAGAAAGAACTCGACTCAAAATGACTCGTAATATATGGACCAAAATGGAGACATCCATGTACGCTTTAAGTAAAAGAAGCGTTAAAGGTTTTATTACCCTATTGTAATAGGTAGGATCAGCCGTTCCAAGAGATAACGTTCCTCGGTGCAAATAATATTTCTTCATTTATACCTACGTCAACTGTTGAGCATAGATCTCCTTTACAGTGAGCGTTATATGGCCTAGAACTGACCATGTTTGTGAGGATATTAAAGAGGATATTAAGTATACTCCATATCTTTTTTTAATCATCTTAGACATATCATTTTCATTACTACTTAACTTTCCATCATCGCTCCAATGATAATGAATAAATCACACTTAAGTAAATTGATGCTTATTTCTTCTGGGCCACTTTATCATAATAATAGTATAGTGAGAAACCAGTCGAATATCTGCGACGGATATTTGGCGGACAAGAAACTAAGTATGGAGTAATCTGTTGAGACAGCTAGTAATAAATGCTAGGAGGTAATAAGTAACACGTATTTAATGTAAAAAATATAATCCATTAACTAACGTAAATGTAGAAGACATTTCCTTTTAAAATCATGTGACTTTAGTATCAAATTTCAGAGCGACGGGTACATACTTCCAATTTTTATCACATTTTTATTTTTATCACTATAAATATAATATACACTATAAAGCACTATCAAAATAATTAATATACGTAATTGAAATAAATAATATAACAAAATGTTTACCTACCGTAAGATTGAACAGTATTCAGCAAGGCAGACGCAAGAACCACAGTAAACACTGTTAACATCATCTTCTTGCTTGTGACTACTGTTACCACTAACACAACCTGTTCTTGTTTTTATATTAATTTACTAAGAGCTGGCAACAGGGATGGATGCTGGGGCGACTTATTTCCTGAAGCCGAAATTAAAACTTGAGGCAATTTTAATGCTATCGTTATCACTGTTTTTCCTTTCATCGTCGATCCTGTTTTAAGCAATTTGGAGCTGACTGTTTGGAAAAATAAAGACTAGAAAGAGATTAATTGGATGAAAATACGTCATAAAGATAGGTTGCAAATATTTACTTCACTCTAGACAGTCCAAAAGTTTGAGTAGGACAAGGATTATTTGGGGGCGCAAAAAATTAATACGGCATGATCAGAAATACCCTAGTACATTACTGTTTCTATTTGGGATTTTTTATCAATGCCGAGATATTCATCTGAGATTGTATGCTCCAACAACTATGACGGCGTTCGGTAGACCACATCGTTTGTTTGTGGTGCATAATCTGATACTATTGAATTAGTGTACAATAATTATTTGATTAAGGTCAATAGCGAATATTGTAAATGATAGGGATATGAGTAATATTTTAAGAATCTATTATTTTAATTATACAGATTTTAAGTCTCGTATTAAACTAATTCATTACAGGATCAACTGAGTAAATGTCAGATATCGCAAAAAACGTTAGTCGTTGGTCCCATATATTCTTTTGATCCTTACTGGAAACAGGATCGTATGGTATGAAACATTTTTCGTGAAAAATTGCCTTTTATCTTGCTTTTATCTTTCCTTCAAAATCTGTATATGCAAATGGAAATATATTAAAAAATCATCTCATAATCATCACAGTCTTCTAGGACCATTTCCTGTAGTATAGTATTCCCTGTATTTCCTGTAGTATAGTATATAGTATAGTGTAGTATTCCCTTGCTGACTCGTCTCAAATTTTCACCCTGAGTATATTAATTCATTTGAACACTCAGGTCATCGCTATTATCTCGCCGTGGAAAACAGAGCCAACGGCCACCTATTGCTTCAATCTTTCCTAGTAGTATGGTGGAAAGTATATACCTACAATGTGACAAAATACTTTTTTTTATAATATATAAGTGCACATTTGACCTCCAGTCTCACGTGATGGAAAGTGACGATGAGGTCGACAATGGATCATGCACACCTAAATAATGCCTATTTACTCTCGCCCTGAAAAGGTTCAAGTTAGCTCCATAGCCGTTCGCCATATAAACGTGGAAACGTAACGCTTCGTTAAACCTTTGGAATATCCACAACATAGGGGTAGAACCTAAGCCTACGCCTAGTCCCCCGGTAATGGAAAAGCGAAGGCGTAATTAAATCGTGTAATTCCATCGCACACTCTCCGTGATATATCCTGTAAAATACCGACAAGCAGGCAACTTTACGGCGGTGTTCAAGGCTTCGCAACTTCGCCTCCACTAATTCCGAGTCACCAATAAGCCTCTTGACACGATTGTCAATTGAATCCAAAGTGGCCAATTCATATGTAGCAGAGCCATCCCAAAGGTGGCAGCAGTACGCCATGCACGACCGGATTTGTGCTTGGTACAGCTGAAGCAATTGTCTCGGTGTAAAGTAACGCCTCACCCTAGAAAAGATGCCAAGCTTCCTTGCTGCATTTTTGGCCAACGTATCTGCTGAAGTTCAAATTGAACGACAGGTCCATTCCAAGTAGCTGGAAGCAGTCGGCTATTGGTATGGATATATCAGTCGGAGTCAGCTCGAAGGGACTCCGTTTCGTGGAGAATAAACACGCCTGAGTTTTGGTAGCGTTAAATTTGACAAGATTGGCATCGCCCCAATCGGAGACTGCCTGGAGTGTCAAATCCAAACGACAAACCATGGACTCTCGACAAGACTGGATTTCCTTTCCACTGACCCTTGGATTGGTCAAGTACCTATCTACAACTGTGCTATCATCAGCATACGCAAAGGTACCTGGAATTAACATATCATTGATATGCAGCAGAAAGAGAATTGCAGACAGTACGGAACCCTGAGGAAATCTATCGCCATGTGTTCGGAAGTGTAGCCTTCTAAAACTACTCGAATCGAACATTCACCCAAGAAATCCGAGATCCAATTGCAAAGGTCAGTGGGAAGCCCATAAAAGGGAAGCTTACTTAAAAGGCTTGCGTGCCGCACCCAGTCAAAGGCTTTGGAAATGTCCAAAGATACTGCAAGTGCTTCGCCTTGCTTTTCTATAGCCTCGCTCCGTATGTGACAGGCATACTTAAGAAAATCCCCAGTAGATCGCCCTCGTCGGAATCCATACTGGCGATCACTGAGGAGGTCGATGTCTTCAAGGTACGACAGGAGACGGTTGTTGAGTACGCGTTCCATACTCTTGCAGAGTATGGAAGTGACTGAGATAGGTCTATAGTTGACAGAGTCAGCTCTGCTGCCCTTTTTCGGCAAATTTCTACGACCTGGGAACTACACCAGTCTCACGGGAGAGGCGGCACAGGCGTGTGAGAACAGGAGACAACTCAGGCGCACAGTTATGCAGGACTGTTGCTGGAATTCCATCTGGCCCGCTAGCTTTATTTACGTCATTTAAAAAATTTCAAGTTTGAAGTTATAAAGAGTCAGGACTTTTTAAGAGCTCTCATGTCAAAAAAGTTTTGACATTGGCTCCGCCCAAATTTGTGAAACAAATATATGCCTGAAGGTCGCGTGACATACGACAGGAGATGTTGAATTTTGCGCATTAAAAGTACCAAATTCGTTTTAGCGGAATAACTCTAAAACTAAAGGGATTAAAAAAAAATCCGTAGTGACAGTTGTCGATCATGCATAAATATAATTAATTATCTAATTTTTGTCCTAATAACCTGTAGCATTTCGAGGGTAAATCGACAAAATGTGAAAATTAGAGGTCATTTCGTGATTTTTATCTATCGAGGAAACTTTATTGTTTTATGTTTCTGATTAATGTCTATGCTTGAATATATCGTGTAGTTACTCATACAATATTTTATTTTTAACTTTAAAGTGGATATACCCCTCTAAAATCAAATCGAACATTAGGAATTTTTCCTCTGCTCCTTCTTAAGAAACGTTTAGGACTTCTTTGAAACTATACCTTACGTCATTCATACTACTACGTTCCAATTTGCGGTTTAAAAAGTGACAATTTGTACAATGTTTAACCCGTGGCTGAATGAAACTATTAATTTCTTCCACTTACATAATTTTTTCTTACGCAGCCATCACTTCTTAATACTTTGAACCTGACTATTATATCTAATGATACATAAGGCGAACTACAAGTTTCCAGAACTGGCCACTTACATAAACAATATTTTAAAAATAATTACAACATTGGAAAATGGAACTCTTTGCCTGTAGAATACAGTTTGTTTCATCTGACTGTCACTTGTTTTTACATTTTGGCGTCATTTTAGAAATTGGTTGTCTACGTCACCATAGATTGAACTCGTGAAAATTTTCGTAGTATGATTTTCTACGACTTTAAGTGTAATTTAACAGCTCAGCGGAGCTTCGGCTTCAAATTGCTTTTGGCAATGAAGCACCATGCACACGACTATTTATAGCTGGTTAGCAGAATTCAATCGCGATCGTGTGAATCTCAGTGACGAATTTCGTGATGGCCACCCGCCCACTGCTGTGAACAACAAAAACACCGATGCTGTGCGCCGTATGATCAAAACAGACAGGCATGTGACATACCGTGAGATTCGGGCATCATTAGGCATAGGCATGAGTCAAATACAATCAATACTACACAAATATCCCACTTAATTGACTGAGATTCAAAAATGGATCGCGTCACTTGGTGCAATACCGTGCTTACCAGATTCAACGAAGGGGCGTCAAATTTGGTGTGGTACATAGTAACAGGTGACGAAACATGGATTTATAGTTACGATCCCAAAACAAAGCAGCAATCGAGCGTTTGGGTCTTTCATGATGAGCCGAAATCAACCAAAGTAAGTGCAAAATTGCAAACGTGCAAAGTGCCCCTAAGCGGATGATTGCTTCTTTTTTTAATAAAACTGGACTTGACTTGACGTGACTTTTATTTATTTCCAAAAATTAAGAACCAGTTACGCGATCAACGATTTTCATCACCTGAAGGGGCTGTCGAAGAGTATGAAAAATGTGTTTCAAAGATTGTCACGGAGGAGTGGCATAAATGTTTTCAAAATTGGATCATTCGTATGAAAAAGTGCATTAACGCTAACAGAGAATATTTTGAGAAACAATAAATTCATTTCTGACCATTTATAGTATTTTTTTCTTATTCGTTCCGGAAACTTATAGTGCGCCCCACGTATAGCAAGAGTTCCTACCTCTGTACCTACATATAGTTAAGTGTTTAATTGATAATATGGATTTGAAGTATATCCAGTTTATCTATTTCTGCCGTCAAGCAGTAATGTCAGCATTACTGTGTTCCGGTTTTGAAGGTTAAAGGTGCTGGTGAAATGGCACATGGGACTTGGCAACTTATGTCTCAGGGGGACCGGCACAGTGGCAGTGCGCCTCAGATCTTTGCGATTTAAATAGCTGAGTGGCACTGCAACTGTTATGGACAGGCGTGTAGCTTATTACCAGGCGCACGACTTGTTCGTCCTGTCATTTGATATAATAAAAAAATTTTTAATAAATAACGCGTTACCGTCATTATTGCTACAAGACTGTATTTCCTTACAATGGATTAAATTGTAAACATTATCAATAATTACATCGTCTATTGTTCCCAGCCACTTAAATTTATTTAAGCAACAGATACGAATATATACTCACATTTTGTTAGTGAAAATGAAAATGTCTTTATTGTCGCTTATACAGGCTGTATATTTGAAAGTGAGACATATTCATACATGTCATAGTAAATCATGTTACAACTTAATATAGCCTACAATAAAATTAGGATATGGGATAGAACAAGAAATAAATCACCAAATTTGTTTTGGAGTGTACATAGGAATAAACCGATTCCCTTTACGCTTGATTTCGAGTGCAATGGGAATACTACCAAGCGAGGGTCGAGTGAGGCGGCAACAATAACAATGATTTCACATCTTCCTTCCTACTAAATGCACTTCTTTTCTCTAGAAAATAAAAACTAATTTACTCACCTACGCACATTTATGTTTTGATGAAAAAAGCTGTTATCGAAAGGTCGAAAGGAAAGAAATCGTTAATACGTTTTAGCTTATGCTAATTATTTTTTACTTCTGAACTATCGTCGAAATGTTTTACGTATTAAAAAAGACAAGTTTACGATTTAGTATCATTTAATAAGAATTGAGATTTTTGGTGTAGTTAAAAATGTGAAATCAAATTATTTGTATATATACAAAGATTGATTTTTTAGTTATGTACAGTTTATTTACACTTACGTGATACGGAGCTAGTGTTCAAAATGTCCACCGTTTTCCACAATGCATAGGCTAGCACGTCATAGAAAATTTTGTTTTAAATTGTTCAACACAAACACATTTTGTCTCACAGTATAAAATGCTGAGATAATCCTCTCATGCAACACTTCGACACTGTTCACCTCCTCCGCGTAAAACTCCGATTTGGGAACATTTCAATAGCTCGTGTCACACTATCACCACTTATTGCGAAAAGTGGCACCACCTCAGTCAATTCGACGTTAGAATAAAAATCTATTTTGCGCGAGCGAACGGAAGTACAAATAATTTACGTATTTCGCTAGACCAAGGTCGCGCGTGCACTGTCTCTGCGCCCGCGCCCACACCCCCGACCTGTGCTTTGATTTTCGCCGCCGTGCCACAGCTCGCCGTTGCGTCGGAGCAATAATAGTAATATGCATAGATTTCGATAACTAATGTTGTTCACAAGTAGTAGTCGATAAAAAAAATAAAAAAATATTTTTTGTTTAAGTTTAAGTTCATTAGTTTATTATTTCTTTGGGTTCAGAATCAGGAATATAACGTACTCTATAAGTATGTCCCGCTTTCAAATATACTGCCTGTCTAAACAATTACAAAATAAAGCAAAATAAAAGAATGCAAACCAAATATATTACAAGAAGATTGTTAGTATAGTATTATGTTCTAAGTGTTATTATTTATTTGTGTGGGCTCTTGTTCATATGTACAATATATTTGATATGTTTGTGTATATACAGCAGTGGCGAGGCGTCCATATAACTTAATTCCTACCGGTTTGCCTAAAATTTTCCAGGCAGGTATCACCGAATTTCATAATTATTTTAAAGTAATTTACTACACTTTGTGCTTAATTTTACGTGTAGAGTAATTAACCAGTGAAATAAAGAGTAGTAGTATCTTGTATGGTAATAAGTTTGTTAAGGCAAGTAAGTGTTCTTTGTTTTGCTCCGACTTTACTAAAGACAATTTTCACACCACACAATTTTAATTTAAAGCTTCGAGTGGCACTGCAACGCCATGGACTGGGACTTACTACCAGGTGAATATAATAAAAAGTTAACACATATCGAGTAATAAATTGAATATACAATATAGTAACTGCCTGAGGCATTAATTTGAGCTATCTTATCAATTTAGATAAATAATAAAGGGGTTAACAAAATAAAACATTTATTTCAAAAATTATGTCAAGACGATAAAAATATTATACGATACTCTTCGGCTAAAAACTCTCACAGAAGTAAAACAATAATAAAACTATTCCACACAAGGTAACATAGGGATGCGACCATGTTGTGACTAGTAATGTATGTATGTAAACAAAAAAAATTAATATGGCAAAAAATCTTAGCATTACCCGATTATTATTATTACTTAAACATTAGAAATAAAACTATTTTTTCAGATCCAAATCGCGTGTCAGTTAGTTGTGACCATGAAATTTTTAACAGGCCCGAAACGTTGGTTAGTTTGAAAAAACATATATACGCGAGTGAAAAAGAGTTTTATTTCTAGGAGTTATTTAACAGTTCTTTACTAAATTTGTGTATCATCTCAAATTTTATATAATGTGCTAGAATGTCGTTGGATTCTTTTACGTAACTTTATACTTATACGAAGCTATGAATATTTATTTATAATTTACGCGCTTGATTATGTTACGTACACATTTTTCCTATATTTTGCTAAAGATTCTACTTTAAAACTAAAAAGGCAGTGTCGAATGCTTCACTAAAAACTTCTTTTTGTCAATAAGAAGTTATTGTGTTAGAACGCAAGTCTATTTTGAATTCTTTTCGTACAGAAAAAAATCAAAATTTTCTAAAGACTAATAATTTTACAACAAAGTTTACACTATTATATTACAGAAAATATGTATGTCTACTTAGCTAAATTTTACACATTATCATTATTCTATCTATCCAACGAAATAATGTAGAACGGTATCAGAGTCCTAGTAAAAAATAAATTTAAGTTTATAAATTAATAATTGCACCAATAAAAAATAGTATAATGGCTCCGACGGTTCTCGTGGCAGAATTGCATAAATCTGTGTCACAGACTTTGCATTCTGAAGGTATACCATCGAAACTGCTATTTTCATCCTCCGTAATTAATTCTTTGCAGTTTGATTCATCATCCTCTGCTACAAATCCACAACCTCTAACGACGATTGTCTCATCATTTTCTGAAAAATAAAAGATATTTTCAAACACGTTTAAAGTTCTCAAATTTATAGTTCGATTGTAACAGAAACTGGGGATTCAGGGTACTAATTGCCATTTCTGTCCACAAAGGGACCATTCAAGATTACGTAGACAGAATCCTATCAGCATATAATATTTATAATATATCAAGCTTACCAATGAACGACGTAAAAATGCATTTTGCATCGGATTCTTCATCGTTTCTGTATTGTTTCAGGTTTCTCAAAAACACACGGGCTGGCGGGTTCAAGTTCTTGCCCAGCTAAAAAGATGTCGAATACGTATATTTCACATCGAGTGGTCAGTATAATGACTTAGAATAATAAAAAAATGCATTGGAAAAGAAACTATTTTTTGGGATCTAATCGCTCAAATTAGTTTTTTTAGTCCGCTTTGAACATGGGATGTAAAGATAATGAATATGTATGGTTTAATTCCGAAAAAATAATTTCTTTTCCAATGTGTAGCAATCGGAAAAACCAAAATAGTCGATATTTTTTTAAATGAAGTGATGAATGCAATGAGTGAATAAGTTAAATATAGTTAATAACGTCCAGTAAAACGCGCGTAGGCGTAAAAAAAGTCATGCGCCTTCTACTTAACTGTACTTAACACTTACTATTAATGAAACGCAATGAAATTTTTTCTAAGGAAGTACTTACTGAACGCAATTCCTCTTGATCATTGTAAGAAGCGTCAGAATTTATTAAGTTCTTAGATTCTCTTCTTACTCTTCTTGCTTCAGGATTACTATCAGTTGGCTCATCGTCAGGGTTCGTTTCAATAGGGTCGCTAACTTCTGGTTCAGTCTTATAAGGGTCGTTCATGTCAGGGTCCGTATCACCAGGATCAGTCACATCAGGATCAGTCATGTCAGGATCTGTCTCATCAGGATCGGTCTCATCAGGACTTATTTCATCAGGATCGGTTACATCTGGGTTCGTCTCATCAGGATCTTTCTCATCAGGATCGGTTACATCAGGGTTTGTCTCATCAGGACCCGTTTCATCAGGATTAGTTATATCAGGGTTTGTCTCATCAGGACCTGTCTCATCAGGATCGGTCACATCAGGGTTTGTCTCATCAGGACCTGTTTCATCAGGGTTTGTTTCATCAGGACCTGTTTCATCAGGACCTGTTTCATCAGGGTTCGTCTCATCAGGATCAGTCACATCAGGATTCGTCTCATCAGGTCCTGTTTCATCAGGATCTGTCTCATCAGGATCGGTCACGTCGGGGTCCATGTCGTCAGGATCTGTCTCGTCAGGATCAGTCACATCAGGATCTGTCTCATCAGGGTCCGTCTCATCGGGATCGGTCACGTCTGGTTCAGTCTCATCAGGGCCCGTCTCGTCAGGATCTGTTTCATCAGGATCTGTCTCATCAGGACTTATCTCATCAGGGTCTGTTTCATCAGGATCTGTCTCGTCAGGATCAGTCACATCAGGATCTGTCTCTTCAGGATCAGTCACATCAGGATCTGTCTCATCAGGATCAGTCACATCAGGATCTGTCTCATCAGGGTCTGTCTCGTCAGGATCAGTCACATCAGGATCTGTCTCATCAGGATCTGTCTCATCAGGGTCTGTTTCATCAGGATCTGTCTCGTCAGGGTCAGTCACATCAGGATCTGTCTCATCAGGGTTTGTTTCATCAGGATCTGTCTCGTCAGGATCAGTCACATCAGGATCTGTCTCATCAGGATCAGTTACATCAGGATCTGTCTCATCAGGATCTGTCTCATCAGGATCTGTCTC